AAGTCCACCCCAAAGCCACGAATGATCTCCCCCAGCGGCTTTACATAAATATTGAACAAAAGGGGAGAGAGGACCGACCCCTGAGGCACCCCACAAGTTAGGGGTCTAGGAGTCGACCTCTGTCCCCCTGCCAATACAGACTGCGTACGGTCGGTGAGGAAGGAGGAGAACCACCGCATAACGGTGCCTCCCACTCCTAGCCCACCGAGACGCCGCAGCATGATACCATGGTCCACAGTATCAAAAGCCGCTGAGAGGTCCAAAAGAACAAGGACAGAGGAATATCCCCTGTCCCGGGCCCTCCAGAGATCATTAACCAACGTGACCAATGCCGTTTCCGTGCTGTGCCCCGGCCTGAAGCCCGACTGGTATGGGTCTAGATAGACTGTTTCATCCAGGTGCCGAGGGAATTGCTGTGCAACCACACTCTCAACAACCTATTGTCTTCTTTGTTTGCAATGTGGCCTTTATATTTTAAAAAATGTTTGAAGCAGATTTCTGCAATTCCGCACAATGGATTAAGAACTTTATTTGGCATTTGATCTTACTGAAAAGAGGCCTTTTGTTTCCGATGACGCAGCTGAGAAGAGCAGACCTGATAATACTACATAAACGTAGCATTTCTAATCTCTGTCAGACAGTGCTGTTTTTCAAGACTGATTCTAGTTCTCAAGCCGGGCAGTTAAACAGCATATATGAAAGTATTCATTGGAAATAAATTATTTTCCTTTTTAGATAAATCAAACATAACCGAAGGATTCTGGATGGTCTCTGAGCTTGGTAGTTTCCTTTGCAGATGTTTCATGATTCTACTATGTAACATCATCAGTGCTAGAAGGGATTGGGGTTTGCCAAGGGGAGGAGGACTGTGGAGTCCTTGATGGTTCTCTCTGAGCTTGGTGGTTTTCTTGCAGACGTTTCTAGTCCTGATTAGGTAACATCATCAGTGTTAAAAGGGAATGGGGTTTGCCAAGAGAAGGAAGAAGAGGACTGTGACGAATGTGGGGTCCTTGGTGCTCTCTGAACTTGGTGATTTTCTTGCAGACGTTTCATGACCCAGCTAGTTGCAACTTCAAACAATTACAAAAAGACTACAAGTGATAGTACAATTTATTCTGAACGTAAGAAGCAGAATAAGCATTGTTAAATGTACCTTTCTCAGAAAAGGTCACAATTGGAACATTAGCTAGGCCAGGGGTGTCAAACTCAATTTCATTGAGGGCCGCATCAGCATTGTGGTTGCCCTCAGGGGGCCGGGTGGGTGTGGCCAGGGTGGGTGCGGCCTACTGGGTGGGCGTGGATGGAGTGGGTGTGGCCTACTGAGTGGGCGTAGCCAGCTCTACATCGTTTGCATCAAGGGTGCCTGTGGGGGGCCTGGGCAGGAGTGGGACAGATCTGAGGGTCTCTGGCAGAAGGGGGTGGGACCGGGGCAAGTGCCAAGGCATGGTCCACTGGAGGAGCCTCACTGTTCCTCTCAGGCCATGCAGGGGGTGGGGGGGCTTATGGAACTAAGGCTGAATGCGTTTCAGCATAGATGGCCACCACAAAATTGTACATTGGCTCCCGGCCGGCCTG